AAATCACTGGATAACAAACCAACCAACAACATATCGCCCTAAATAGTTTCTGAAGAAAATGGAGGTGTATTGAACATAAGTTGAAGAGACCACTGAGTGACATTGCTCGCCAGTCCCCCTAGTGAGACCCAGACGAGAGACGATGGGCTACCTATGGGTCTGAGAGTGACATGGAGGGTATAATGTGAGGAGGTGACAGCTCACGTCAGTCATGGATGTAGCTAAAGAGGACTGCAGAGAACGGGACAAAATGGAGATGTGCTGTTGAAGCTCTGTGTATCAACTGGAACTTTAGGAAAGTATTATAATACACAGTGAAAATATTGGTGTATTGAATTTCCTAGATTGCGTAGTAGGCCACAACTTGGTTGATATGAAGTAAAAAATTAAACTTTAGGTTTTTAATAGCAAAACATACTGCGTGAGTAATCCGTACGACAACCAATATGTCAATTTAATTTTAATTTTGAGACAAAACAACTGACAACTACTTATCTAAACTCGGTTCCCATCGAAAAAAATAGAAAGTATAAGATGAAAAACAAATCTCCACGCTAACATTCGATTGCTGCACCTTAAAATTACATGAATTTAGAGTTTCTGAAAATGCTAATTATCTTCAGGGGAATTAGTGTCGTCGTCACTCTGGTACAATAGTCGATTTGAATTTTTTTCGCGTTTTGAAAGTGAGTATGAAAAAGGTTCTACTTGTGGATTTGTGACTTCAGCTACATCCAGCTTCATTGTTTTGAGACTGAAGTATTCTTTGTGGAAAGATTTCTAAAAAATAGTGTTGCTAGTTCAACTTAAATGCATTACTAAGTGTGAGTAGGCTTTAGTTACATTTATTTTTAAAAATAAAGACAGTCTAATTACTGTTCAAATGAAGCAACCTACAGAAGGAAGTTACTTGGTTTGCTAATAAGAAAATTCCACTAAATTTCAAAACAAGTTGTTTCTTGAAAGTATACTGAAGGTTAGATTTGAGAAAAGAAAGTAACTGAATAGAAGTATCCCTACACACATATTGAACATTTAATGTTATTCATTCATTTTTATTCCTTTATGTTCCCAGTGGAGTATAGGGCTTTAAATAGAGGCTTGAAGTTTCGATAGCAGTGGTGTTTCATTTTTACTAGCCTCTTGCCTAACCTTCCCTCTGTACCAGTCTGATTACTGGCTTAGAGAGGTAAAGGAGTGTGTCGTCCGCCGGGAATCAAACCACGAACCACATGCATGGTTGACAAGAATTCTACCACTGTGCCCTCGACGCACAAACATTTAACGTAGAGAAAACTGATTAAAAAAGGAATTGGCAATAGTTGGAATTCGTGGGCCATTGGATCAGGTCCCAGTGTCTTAATGGTCCACGAGCTCGCCTCGTAACTGGGAGGTCCTGGGTTCGAACCCTGGTGGTGGGGTGCTTACTGATGAAGAGTCCCAAACTAGGACGAAATGCCTGGCTCTTCAGCAATCTCAGATTTTCCAATGGCTCTCTAACTGATATCAGTTCATGATGAAATCCTATAACCAATTATAAAAGTATCTTGTGAATCGAATATCCTAGAATGACTGGAGGATTTTATGGCGTCAATATTCATAAATGGCTTGTGTGTATGACAGATACAAATACATAATAACTGCACTCACCAATCTTTAAATGGACAACGTTTTACAATCATTTCCCAGTCAGTTTGTTACGTATTAGTTTAGACTAAATCTTTATTTAAGAAGAAATAAAGTTGAAGCAATCACTCCATGTATATTAAACTTTGACTCTTAGTGATATTTCGCACTAAAATTTTTTTTTCCAGTTTATCCTTGTCGTGCTAAATACTTTCAGTTGATTAGGTATCAGACACAGTATAATAGAAATACTTTTGAAAATGTTTCTGCCAGGTCAGTAGTCAGAAGAATGTGAAATTCACACATTTTTCGTACAAAATGACACTGAAATTAATCTAGCCTAATAAAAGTGCATCATGTAGCACTTTTATTATACAATGCGTTTTTTATGCTGACCAAAGTAGCTTTTGTGTTCCATTATACTAATAAGTATATCAATTCACTTTGATCTGGCTAGTAAGCACTAATGATTGATATAATTGGTATACAATTACTCATTTCGGTCAATCTGTAGCACATGCTTAGTCTCTTGATCATCATTTATGAAATTAAGTGGGTCATACATTGAAATGTGAATAATTTCGGTTTCCACAGAAAACTGTACTTAAATCTCAGCTGGAACTGTGTGAAATACAGATTAATTTGCCAATTGACTATCCTACTTATGGTTCTTAACCAGTTCAGTCAAGCAGCTAGCCCAAAACTCGGGTGGTTCGCACTGATTTGATTATCTACGATAAGTCAAACCAGGAACAGCGCTGATGACCTAAGCGGAAAACGAGTGGAACGTCTGACTCGTCTTCAGACCCCTTCGATCAGCCTAGTAAGTATTAGTGGTTGATACGCATGGTATACAACTACTTATCTCAACCAATCAGTAGTATATAGTTCTATACATATATGAAAGCAACTGTTTACAGAAAATTGTGATTTTTTTTAATTCTATGCCGTGCCTACTAAAATTGGAATGAAAAGCACAAGAGTAGGAGGGTTTAAATGATCAAACTCCAGTTTTGTTGTCTTAAGGTTCTACTGAACGATTCAGTCTATATCCAAAACACTCAATTACTAAACATAATACATTTCTATCGACCACACAGTGTGCAAGAAATCACTTTGCAGGAAATAAATTGCAATACTTTACTTATTTTAAACAAATATGAAAACATGTTAAGAAGAATAACAGTAATGATAATCATAAATAAGTCATTCAGACTGCACCAAAAGAATAAAATCAATAGGAACCATGGTGCTCGAGGTAGAACGAAACAGAGACAGAGACAGAGAAAGAGTGACAGGAAGAGTGAAGAGACTGAGAACCATTTTTTTGTCTCAAATAAATAAACCACACACTTATTATCACCTACTTAAAGTGTGTGTGTGTGTGTGTTTCTGTAAATTTATTCAGCTTCAAAACTAAACTGCATTCATCATTTCTTGCGTTGTTTGCATAAATCTGTATTGTTCCAAGCTAATTAATCAAAGATGATTTCTCGCACTAAATCAGTCAGTAATAAGATGAAAGAGTTCAACAGATAAATACATAAATATGCAAAGAAATCGCATCGCACAAAACTGCATAAATTGTAAATACCACTCACTCTTAGAACTTCTATTACGCAATATGCTAAGTAATTTTGGGTAAATAAAGTGTGATGAGAAAAGGCCTTGAGACAAGACAGACAGAGATGATGTTTTATAGCCAAAAAATGAAAATGAAAAATGAAGAAAGAGAGATTGAAACGAAAAACAACAAGACAAACAGAGTCACTAGCAAATATATAAGTTGAATAAGTTTTTTGTCTGCTTCACTCCAGGGACTTATCTTCACTTTCAATTTCACCTGTGATTTCTACATGTCTTCCGTAAAATTAGAGAGATTACTTTGCTGTCACGAACAGATATCATTGAAAACTAGTATATCCTAGGTGGTTGTTGCATTCTATTGCGAGACTGTTTAGCATTGAGCACCTATAACCTGATCATAGTTCAAATACAGAACCTTGATGTCATGAGGCCAGCACGTTCATCATTCACTCAGTGACATGAAGTGAAAAATAACCCATGAATCCTGAGTTTTGTCATTCAGGATATAGCTCACCTGATGTTTAAGAGTTTTCTAGGGATCTCTTATTTACAACTTCACTGACCAATATCAGTTCATCATTGAGTTTACAATAAAATTATTAAAATTCCTATGAACAGAACGTACTATTATCTAAGAGTTGGTTTGTAGGGAATTGATTGATTTAGTGTTGATCACTAATCGGCTTTAGTTAGGGGACTATTGTAAACCAGAGAGTACTGGACAGCTGTTTCCTCGTTGTTTGGGATTCTCTAGCAGTACGCATCCACGAACCCTATAGGGATCCAACCCAAGACCTTCAAGTTACAAGACCAGCTCGTATATCATCCAGCGGCTAGAACGGAATCTGATACCTAGTGAGTTCCAACTTCTTTCTCTTCACAACACAGCACAAACACCAGCCAAAATCATCAGTGAGTATCTGCCTTCAATCCGGACATTTTGGACCCTACTGGTGAAGTTGCTTGAAGTAATAGTGACATTCCGTGGTCAGTGTAGTACATCGAGTTGGACGTGGGAACAGATACTCACCAATGATATTGGCTGACGGTCTCGCTATATCGCGCGTTTACAGAAGTTAGAATTCATGGGCTATTGAATTCCATCCTAGTGACTGCATAGCATATGAGTCTATCTTGTAACCTAAACGTCCCGGGTTCGATCCATGGAGGTTTCATGGGTGGGTACTACCAGAGGATCCCGAACAATAACAAAATGGCTGTCCAGTACTCGGTAGTTTATAATGGTTCTCCTTTTTTACTCCTTCACGTTCCCAGTAGAACATAAGGCTTCAAGCTGGAGGCCTGAAGTTTAGGTAGCAGTGCTCAGCCTTCCCTCTTCACCAGTCTTATTACCTGCTTAGCGAGGCAAAGGAGTCCGCCGGCCGGAAATCGAACCCCCGGACCACATGAGTGGTTGGTGAGCATTCTACTGCTGTGCCACCGACTCACCTTATGTTTCTCTAACTAAAGTCAATTTGCGGTCTAAATTGAAATTAAAATCATTTCAATTCAATCCCATACTTGTTACCATATTCAAACAAATATTACTGCGCGATGTTATAGAACGAAAAAGCATACATTTTATTGTCCAACCTTTAATGAAACTTAAAAAATTCAAAATAATTTCTGTACAACACTGTAGCACCATTTGTTGATGTCTTGCTCAGTGTACTAAATGACTTTATTTTCATCTTATTACAGCTGTGCATTTTTAGTTGAATAAAGTAAACTAACTATTCCATTTATTATCACTATTGTATTTACTCCTTGTTTGTCTCTTTATCAAGGGTAAAGATCTAAGAAGCTACATGCGTTCGCGTAACAATCACTTATCAATGAATTTAGTTCGACTATTCGCCTTTCAAATATTTCGTGGACTTGAATACTGTCATGCACGACAAATTCTACATCGTGATTTAAAACCACAGAATTTACTTATCAATCAAAATGGAGATTTAAAACTGGCTGATTTCGGTAAGAATTTTTTTTTGTATTATTTACAATCTGTATGATTATTAATATGCAGAATAAATCTGTTAACCTTCATTCAACTGTATTTAATACATGGCAGTTCATTTGCCAGCTAATAAGTTTCAAAGAAATTACTATGCAGGAATTCTTATATTTGTTTAATTTAATTTTATCTACTTCCCCTTCATTGAATATTTTTTTTCCTTCACGTTCCCCAGTGGAACATAGGGCTTCAAGCTAGTGGCTTGAAGTTTCTGTAGCAATGTTTATTTTACTGGATGGGATTGCTAGCCTCACGCCAAACCTTTCCTCTTCACCAGCATTATTTTTGGCTTAGCGGGGTAAAGGAGTGCGTCGGCCGGGGATCGAACCCCGGACCATGTACATGGTCAGCAAGCGTCCTAACCGCTATGCCACCGACGCACTCGTTGAATATATTGGACCAAAACGTTTCCTCACTATTGAAATATCAGCTTCTAGTACCACTGCTTCTGTGATATCCAAGGATTAATATGAAGTGATTTGGTGGTTGTTGAATATCAGTGGAACTTAAGACACTCATTTCGTCGTTTTTGGGACTCCTCATCTGTATGTACCTATATTTTTCCAGTGAGTAATAAGGTTCCTACTTAAGCTCAAGTAACATGTTATTCCTCAGACAACCTCAAAGCATCCGTACACGAAGTCAACATGCCGACAGAGACCGAACATTCCGATCAAATTCAAAAATCAAGTTAAACAAATCACAACTTATCCCGGTTATGCCGGTTACACATAGGGTGCTCGTCGTGGTCTAAGTGACCACGCTGTGGAGTTAGAAACTACAGGTACTAGGTTCGAGTCCCAGTGAGAACAATGCCACTCACTAGGAATCCAGATACATTCAGACGACGAATCCAGGTCAGGACGAAGTGCGCATTCTGGATTTCACAGCTAGTTACTATCATCTGCCAAACTGCAGAAATTCTCATATGCTGAAATAATATGTATCAGGCTTGGACTTCAACTTCTTAACAGTCGAAGGTACTTCACAATGTATCTACAAACGACAGAAAAAAAACTAATAATAGGGAAGCAAAAGAGAAATTAAGCTAAAACAGAAAAAGCAAACTAAATGACAAAGTGGAAAGTGCTTCAGAATCAATGTCATCATCAGTCTGATATTTTCAAATGCTTTCGTATACATTAAGAAACGTTCAGCTGATATTTGTGTTGATTAAAAATGCTCATTAGAAAATTTTCAAAGCCTGATTAGTGAACAAAGATTATGGTTTTCGATAATTTCATCAGGTTGTACAGTTATATAGCCATAGACTAGCTACAGGATTACTACTATTTACGACATTATTACTTTAAATAACATTGACTTTTCAAAAAGATCGATAGGTTACTCTTTAAAATATGTGTATATGATAATATGCATATATAAATATAACACTAAATTAGAGAAAGTAGTTTGGTGTTTATAAATTCACAGGCAGATATATTCCACAGAAGGACAGGATATCAGTACTGGATGCACATGGGTTGTTTTATATGCAAAGTTCTGGTTGTATTAAGCGAATTACTATAGCTTTTGCTGTTTAGAGTGTTCGGTATCTCGAGGCCTTTGATAATTTGTTCAGTACATGATAGATGTAAGTAAAAGATTCTTAAATGCTCGCTTTATTGCCTGTTTGAACCAATTCATCTATTATCGAACTGTTGATGGTTTTCACTACATCATTGTTTAATCATACTGGCTGGTGATCCTGAGCAAACAAATCAAGTTCCACTAATAGACATATGACTGTAGGACATTATGAAGAAGTTATCGTAACAAATATTCCTTGTTCCCTGATCAGTCTTTTGAATTTTGGTAGTATTCTTTATCAATATGCTTATTTATTCTACTAAGCTGTAATCTAATAATAATAATAATAACATCTTTTTGATGTGGTTGTGTTCTCTGAGCTGGATAGTTAATTTGCGAAGCTTTCATCACCCTACTAGGTGACATCTTCAGCGCATACTTCAATTTGAAGTGAGCTTTTAGATTTCTCCACGAGTTTATTAATCATCTCTCCCGGTGACCTTGGACGTGATTGGTTGTTTTTGTGTGTTTTCACACCTTCTAGGTTACTTGTATTGTACAAGTAGCTCACTTCAAATTGAAGTATGCTCTGAAGATGTCACCTAGTAGGGTGATGAAAGCTTTGCGAATTAACTATCCAGCTCAGAGAACACAACCACATCAAAATCATACACCTGAGCTACAAATCTTCTCCATCATATCAAATAACATCTTTATTCTGGACAGTATTTCTATAATGTACAGAATTTTCAGATGAGTTTATTGCATGATATTTTACCTTCTTACAATATCTTTAAGTAAAATATTAATTGACAGTATATCCTTTGACATAATGATGTCTGAGGTGAAGCACAAACCATTCAATTATGATATATCTGCTTCGTCTTCTACAAGAAATCCATGATGTTGAGTTGAAAGCAGATTGTAAGATGTTCAGAAGTACACTTTGAGACCCAAAGACATAACTGAAGAACAGTTGCCACTCACAGTCAGGCCTTTCCCCAAGTTTAGTAGGAACTTGCAAATCAGAAGCTTGTAAACATTTTAATTACACACAAGAGTAGATAATACGGCGAAGTTCAACAATAGCGTCCCAGGGGTGTGAACACTCCAATGACCTTGAACGCATGGTAGTCGTTTGCCGACGGCATCTGTCACTACCACAGCTAAAATATCAACGCTATTCACCAACTTAGGAGCAAATTTCACCCAGATCACGTTTTTAAGTACTGTTTGGACAATGTGTTAATAGCTCGTTAGGGTTAGGATTAGGGTTAAGGTAAGTATTGGGGTTAGGGTTAGGATCAGGGTTATAATTAGCATTAGGGTTAGAATTACGGTTTGAATAAGGGTTATGATTAGGGTTAGGATTAAGGTTAGGTTTAGTGTTAGGACCAGGATTAAGCTCATGGTTACGATTAGGAATGGATTTATAGTTGATGTCATTTATTTTAATTTTTTATTATCCACGTTTTCCCGGTAAGTAGTCGTCCATCCTCTTGCTGGAAACCATAATAATTCAACCACGGGCTTTCTTGGAAGACTGCCAGCAGGATGAGAGTGATAAACGATTCACGAAAACAGTTTACCTGTGATCATCTCGGTGAATACATGTACAGAAACTAGTCTAACTTAGCAACTGATACTCCTCACTACAACTGGGACGTATCTTTAAGCCATGTCAGAGAAAGATAACCTGTTTAATGAGTTTTCAAGCATTTTCTTGTCAATATACATCATTTTTTGAGCAAGCATTCCTCATTTTTATGATTGGTCAGCTGAAGGTCACTCGTGCGTTCTCACTCTTGGGACGCTATTGTTGAACTTTGCCGATAATACCATTAGAGGTCACATCTTAATCGATTAAAACGAAGCGAACAAGAGAAAATATATGCAATAGAGAGATGGAAGTTTTTAGTAGCCCAAGTTTTAAGCAGGCCGCCAATTCTGACGGAATACTCATTTCTTACATCAGAAAGTCAAGTCGACTGATTGTTTGAAAGTACAGTTGCAAGTTAGTTCAGCTGGATTTTCAGTAGGCGAAATATTTTAGCTCAACTTCTTATAAGCTAAGTTTCCCTGGTAAAATCACATACAAACCACTGCATTCGTGTTATTTTTACTACATGAATAAATATATATCATATCTGTTCAAAAATTTGGTGTATCTCAATTCATTATGCTTTAATGTCAAGTTTGTATCGTGAACGTACAGGTAAAAAAACAATTTAGGCGATCAGTTGGATTCCATTTATAATATTCAAACCGTGTCGTTTAGTCTCTGTGCATTTCTTAAATTAACTCTTCTTTACGAGTTGATCACGGATTGATATCAGTTAGAGAACCATTGAAAATCAGGGAGTAATGGACAGCTGTTTCATCCTAGTTTGAGAATCATCGGCAGTACACACCCACTACAGGGGTTCGAACCCAGGACCTTCCATTTAAAAGGCAAGCTCGTATGCATGAATTCTAACCTCCACCAGTTCGTGATTTAGCGCGAATGGTATACGAACTTGCCTTGTAACCGGATGGCCCTGGATTCGAACCCCAGTGGGTGCGGACTGCCGATGATTCCCAAACTAGGATGAAACAGCAGCTGTCCAGTAATCCCTGGTTTTCAATGGTTCTCTAACTGATATCAATTCGTGATCAACTCGTAAAAACAAATCTAACCCTTACAAAACCAATCGTTGAAAACTCTTCTTTAGTTGAACTTGGATCTCTTTAGAATCTTCTGTTTACTTATTACTTAAATGCTGAGTTCCTGTCAAACTAATTCTTCTCTCAGAAATTTCAATATTGCCATTATGGTAATTAGAGAAAGTAGTGTAACTAATACATATTTCTGATAATTGCTCATAGGGGGATTTACAATTATGCAATAAAATAAACTCAGTATACACATTTGATATCATTGGGGTTAACAGAACTGAATGAAGTTCAAGTGTATTGAATTAGTTGATAATCTACAAAATGATAATAAAAACAGCTAATTCATTTTTGTGTATTTATATAATCCAAATAGTCAGTGATTGTGGAAGTGCAGCTAGATGGTGTGTGTAAGATTGGGACACAGCTTTAAAACACAAAAGTGTCTGAAACTCTGGACTTTATCCTCAGAAGGATAAGCCGAAGCATAAATCAACACTCGAGCCTAAGTGAAGTACTATTGTGGTGAGAGCTGTCTGCAAGCCAAAATTATAGACGTCAAAATTATATACGTCAATATTCACGTCCCAAATAAGGGTCATGAGAAAAACAATAACAAAACTTAACCTTGAGAAAATCACCAGCCAATCACAGTGGAGTTAAGGGGTGCGGAAATATGATTCACAGATATATGACTTGATTTTCTGAGAAACGGCCACAAAGAGATAACAGAATAACCTTCAGCAAGAAAACAACCAATCAGAAGACGTGACTTCTGTGCTAACAATAACGCGAGTTATAATGCACATAAAAATCTATAAATACCTCTTGATTTTCTCAATAAAGGGTCTGTTGCCTGACCCTTGTCTTCTGTTGTTACACTATCACCAGTGTCATCTCGCAAACAATTTGAATATAGTTACGAAAGTTTGTGTAGTCGTCTACCCACTGCTCAAATCATTAAAATATAAGTTTTCAAGGTGGTTTATTCAACAATAAATCAATGTTTTAACTCTAAAATAATAGAGAAGATTTGTTGCTCAGGTGGATGATTTGCAATTATTAGTGTTCTCTGAGCTGGTTGGTTTAGTTGCGAAGCTTTCGTCGTCCTTCTATTATATCACTCATGAAGAAATTTAAATCATTTCACTTTGTGCCAAATATGGCGCTGAAGATGTTTTCCAGAAGGACGACGAAAGCTTCGCAACTAAACCAACCAGCTCAGAGAACACTATTAATTGCAAATGTTTTAACTGTAGATGTTGACTGAAATTCAAAGTGAAGAAATATCATTCTGGTTAACGTCATCAAACATAATGTACTTATTAAATTCATTAAATTCTTCAATCACGAAACAACAACTTGTATGCCTATCTTCTATTTGGCTTTGTTAAGCAATTCAATTACATTTTATTTATTACCATGTGCTTTCCGTTGTGTGTCAGTTATAAAGCAAATTACTTCGATAAAATCAGAAGTATGAGCAGACACATCGTGTTCGTATAGTGTATATACATGTATGCATAGGTGAATATTCGTTTATGATTAGAAGGGAGAAGTATATATATATATATATATACACTTGAGAAACTGAAAGATTATTGATTTTCTCATAAATTGATTTTTTTACTTTAAGTATTGTATCATACATTTGTCAGTCATTTTAAGCCTATATATTCCCAATGAAACTCTCAGTGTATTATTTCTTCAGTCTTATCTTATGCAATTTAGCATGATAGAAAAAGTATAATCGACTGATTTAGTAACTGTTGATTGAATCGTTAACAATTTTCTCTGTATGACTTTAACCATGGATACAGAAGGCTAATTTCGCATATGCCAGTTTACGTCGTCTCTGGCGTAGATGTGATATCCGACTATCGACCAAAGGGCGTGCGTACTGCTCATCAGTCCGCTCCATCCTCCTTTATGGCTGTGAGACATGGCCACTGAGAGTGGAAGACATGAAAAGATTAGCTGTCTTCGATCATAGGTGTCTACGTTCTATCTCCCGTGTGAAGTGGTATAATAAGGTGAGCAATATTGAGGTTAGGCATTGGTCGAGTGCTAGTTAAGGAGGGGAAATCAGTCGACGAGACTGTGAAATTACATCGACTGAGATGGCTAGGACATGTGCTAAGTATGCCTAGTCATCGCCTTCCTCGAGGGCAATGTTAGCTGATATAGGGCCAGGCTGGAAAAGAGCTAGAGGCGGTCAAACGAAAACATGGCACCAATCAATGAAATCTGCAACAGTTAGTCTAAGCCACGTAGGAAGGTGTAGACTTCCTGGTTGGGGTCCTCGGGACGGTAAAAACCAATGCAGGCTGGAGATAATTGGTGACATGGCTCAAAATCGTTCTCAGTGGCGCAGATGCATCCACTCCTTGTGACTTATGATTTCCAATTAAACTGTTTTGTTCTCCGTTATTACTATTCCTTTGTCTCACACCTCTGTTTACTGTCTATATTATGCATTTCTCCTACTTTTTTCTCTTGCTTTGTGTGCTACATGGAGGGAGTGTGGTGACTTGAACTGCCGCACATATGTGCAAAGTTCTATGTCGAAAACAGACAGTATGACTTTAACATTCAAAGTTAATTTAAGGAAGATCTCGTTAGAGAACCATTAATAATTAGGAAGCACTGGACAGACGCTTCCTTCTTGCTTGGGACATTTTAGCAGTACTCATTCACGCCGACACTGGAAATCGAGCCCAGGACCTTGAGGTTATGAGGCAATCAAGCTGACCATTCAGACACTATAACAGAATCCTATAACGCATAAATTCTAACTTCTATACATCCGCAATATATACCAATACAGCTAGTCAATGTCATTAGAGAGCACCTGCAGGGAGTTCTAGTCAGAAACCATGACCAGTGAGGTCAACTACGTTGGGTGTGTGGTCATGTACTCTCCAATGACACTGACTGGTTTTGTCGTTATGCATCAAGAATCGACAAAAGTTAGGATTCATTGGTCACTTGATTCGCTTACAGTGTCCGAATGGTCAACTGGTTTGTCTGATAACCTCAACGTCCTGGTTTTGATTTTCAGTGTGGTAATGGGAGCACACTCCTGAAATATCCCAAACTAGCATAAAATAGCTGTCCAGTACTCCCCTGTTCCCAGTGGTTGTTTAACCGATATCGATTCGTGATCTAATTTGAAATCAATCAAGTCCCTGCAAACAAACGCTTGAACATCGATATGAGAATAGAACTTGAGCACTGTTATAGAGTACAGTTCCATGATATATTAAATTTATTTGATTAAAGCACACAGTGTTATGTAGTATGATTTACTGATGACGGTTTTAGCATAATTTATTACTTATAATCATAGCGAGGCATAGATAAATCTTATCTATGACGGATCACTTAAACATACTATAAATATTCCGTTGGTTTGATTACAATATATCAACCTTGAAATGGATACAGATATGCAAGTCAAGACTTAAAAGAACTAGAGTTCTTATGCAATGGTGAATGTGTCGGTGGCACAGCGGTAGAATGTTGGACAATCACGCATGTGGTTTGGAGTTCAATCCCCTGCCGCCGACACACTCCTTTACTTCGCTAAGCAAGTAATAAGGCTGGTAAAGAGGGAAGGTTGGTCATGAGGCAAGCAACCCCATCCTGTAAAAACATAAACACCACTGCTACCGAAACTCAAACCTCTAGCCTGAAGCCTTATATCCTGCTGAAAACGTAAAGGAATTTTAAAAAGTGCATCAGCAAGACAAACATCTCATAGGCTAGTTTTTTGGTTATTAAGGTAAAAAATGTAGCTACATCAAAAGAAATGATTGTTTCATTTTCCTTGAACCTTATAGCCTCATTTCACCCAGTAGGTTTCTTATTTACCAGATTGAAAGGTCGCCGTTCATTGCATGAATATTTTAGTTTATTTAAGTGATATTCAAAAGGATTTTATATAGCAGTACAAGGACATGTGATCCTTGATTACAAATAAAATCTTCACTTAGTCGACTTCTCATCGTTTCCCCTAATGATCTATTTCCCATGCGACAGGATGTGTGTTACGAATCCATTTTTTATTCGTCATCTAACTAACTCAAACATGATGACACCAAATTTTGAAGCAGCAAATAGTAGAAGTCTAATTTTAGTACACTGAGGACGTGGTTCTGTAGTAGAGTGCTCGCTAACCGGGTTCGATTCCCCATCGAAACACTTCTAAACCTCACTTAGACGATAGTGAACTTTAGCATGGAGCTGTTGAATATATTTTCATAAAGTTACCTAAACAGCATCTTCGAAAGAAATATTCTGACTATACCTATCAAAATATCAATCAAACTGAGCTAATTTTAACTAACCCTTGACTGTTCACATTGATTACTATAATCATTATTATTTTTTAACTCAGGTCTGGCACGTTCACAATCTGTACCAATCAAAACGTACTCTAGTGAAGTAGTAACACTTTGGTGAGTCAGTGAGTGAGTAAAATATCTCTTTCCGTTTTTTTTTTTTCTTTAAAACTTCTTTTTCTTTACGTGTTTAACTTAGAGTCATGTTAGTCATTATTTTCATCAATATTGTATTCCGGTAGCAGACTACTTCATTCTACTTGATCCTTAATTGTCATTGGTAGTTTTTATTCAGCTCGATTGTATCATTGGTAGGAATAAATTTAGTCATTCACATTATGAATAATCTTCATGTGATAACTATTTGGTTTAAAACGACTTCCTATATGTAGGCCTAATTTGCGAACACTTATCACCACAGTAGAAGCTTTCTGTAATAACGTGAAGATACCTTATGCAACAAGATATCTAAGTGCTAAACAGATATAGAAAAATAAAGCATCAGCAGTGTTAAGCAATATTCATAATGTGCCAATTTTATACTTCCTTAAGATATAAAATAGTTAGCTAGTTAGTTACGTCGAACTCAGAGCTATAAGTCACACACCTAATGTGGGCGCTGACGATACTACCCAATTGCCCATGCTGAGTTGGATGAAGTAGGACTCGAATAAAGCGATTGGTCAACTTACTTAACATCAGTCCAAAGTGTACCACAGTGGTAAATCACCTACCTTGGCGACCATAATACAAACTTCACTGGTCGAATTCAGTTTAAGGACTATATAAGTGACGTTGGCCGATGAGTGTATTCATCCACACAGTCCTATAGGAGGTCAGTCGTGAGTCCGAGTAGCTCCGTGGTAACATCTCTGACGGAAACACTAAATGACATGTGTTCAGATCTCAGAAAGAATGCCAATCCTCTCAAGATTTCTGATGTCCCTTGATAATGAATGTTGATAAGGATTAAACTTAAGACTAGGACTTACTTTCAGTCTCTTCTAATCAATTTATTGGTAAAAGTAACTCCAAGAAGTGTCAGTTTCAAGGTTAACCAACACACTTGTCTTAAACATGTAAAGAATTATAGCATTACAACATTTAAAGTGAATTATCGCAGCCAACAGATTATATTTGTTATTTATTTTAATCCTTTGCGTTCCAAGCTTCAAACTTGATCTCTTAAGTTCCAGTAGCACTGACGTTTATTTTTTGTGAGGTGGGGTTGCTAGCCTCACCCCCAATCTTCCTTCTTTACTACTACCTTACTACTGACTAAGTGAGGTTTAGAAGTGTGTCAGTCAGAGATCGAGCCCCAGACCACGTGTAACGTGGTTGGCGAGTATTCTACCACTGAACCACTGACACAGTCTACTGGAACAGATGAAAAATAGCGTAGATAATTTTCTTTATTTTATTACTATCACAGACAGACAGTGGACGACGAGGAAACAGGTCTAAAATGGACCCACACAAAAAACTTGCAGGATCTGGATTTCGCCGATGACATATGTCTAATTTTCCACAAACTGGAAGATATGCAAATGAAGAGCAACAAGTTGGCAGGAGAAGCATGTAGGGAAAATAGGACTTCAGGTGAACATAAAGAAAACAGAGGTGATGAAGCCAGGTGATGGCCAACAGCAATAGCAGCAACAGCAACAGACAACAATCAGCCAGCATAAGTGGGAGGAATCTGAAGAAAGCAACCTCCTTCACCTATCTACCGACGTGGGAAGCATCGTTTCAACTACAGGAAGAAGTGGCAAGGATATCAAAGTTGGGACCAGGAAAACAAGACAAGCTTTCATTACTCTCAAGTCTGTGTGGAGACAAACAGCATTCAGCATGAAAAATAAGGTCCAGATTTTCAACTTCATTGTGAAGTCAGTGCTACTAACTATACGTATCAGAGACTTGGCGCGCCGTCACAGAGGGCACTTCGAACAAACTACAGATCTTCATCATTAGCTGTCTTCGCTCAATGCCACTCAACATCAGAAGGCCGGCTAGAAAAGATCAGCAACAGGAAAGGATCTCTGGGAGCGAACCAACGCAGCAGGAACCAACTGTGCAACAAATGTGTGGGAAGAAATGGAGGTGGATTGGCCATACTCTGAGAAAACAAACCATCAAGTGACATCACACGCCAGGCCACTACTCAAGTGGAACCCGAATGGGAAGCAGTGAACTGGTCGTCAATGCGAAGATGGGGTGACATGGAGGAGGTCATGTGAAGAGGAGACGAAAGCATGTGGGCAGACGTGTAGCCAGATGGAAACGTTGGCGGAGAACCGAACGCAATGGAGATGTGCGGTTGAAGCCCTATATTCCTCTAGGAAATAAGGAAAACAGTAATAATAATAATAATAATCAAAAAACTGTTAGAATACAGTTCCCTCAGTGGAGTTGTTTACCAATTTACATAACACAAGCACACGCCTGCATCATGTGAGTAACATGTTGCCAAGATGATCTTAATTCAGATTCACTTTTTTGAAAAAATTAGAAACCAATACATGTTTATGTAGTGACAAGAAGCCACATGATGCCTAAATAGTTTGTATAAACAAAAAACTAACAAGGCTAACCATTGCTATTGAAAAAAAGATTAACTAAAGTTTAAAGATTGATTGTGAACTTTGTTACCTTGAATTTACACTTCCATCTTCTGAAATGAAAAAGAAAGCAAGTAATCAAGTAAGTGTATAAATGAGGAAATGGCTTTGAAGACATAGAAATGAAGGATGCATTCTTACTGACTATCGTCAGGCATGTGTAAGGTTAGGTGATATTAGTTGGTCCAACTAGTAGTTAGAATAAGTGTTTAACACTTCCAGTAGTTTATTTCCCCCGTACATTGTACATGAGCAGAACTTTGAAGCGATTATATTCAAAGCGAATGATTTGTTGGTAATGTAATGTAATTTACAAATCGTGGTACCTTGTAAAGTATGCAGCGGCGAATGAATCAACTAGTAAGTTCTAAATGGTTTCGGAGCTGTCAGCTGATTCCACTTTTTTAGGATGCAACATTTGATGAAACAACCAACCTGCATTTCAACTTATCCTGATTCACGTCATTGTGTATAATACATCACATCAATCGAAAAGTTTAAATAAGCTGTAGATGCTCTTCAATTTTAGCATTTTATTCGTCATTGAGGCGAATAGTCCACGGTGATTACTCTTAGTATAAAGTTGTAAAAAGACACGAATTTCCGAGGAAATGAAAACTTGTGGCAGAATGCTTATACTATCAGACAGTGGATCTAAGCATCAAGTGAAATATATAACATGTTCAACCAATAGAAGTAAAATATTCATGTTTGTACCAATACCTCAATGATCATAGGGTCAAGTACTTTTACAAATAAACAAAATAATTTAATTTTCACCCCAGTGTGAAGGTTTTTGGGAAGCTTATTTCAAAATAGCACTCATCATGAATAGAAATTTATAAGTTAGCCATTGAAAATACAGGAAATAGTGAGACTTCATTTCATTTCACTGTAAATTTCTTCGGCGATCAAGTGACATAATCTGAATATCTAAGGAAATCGACAACTTCTAAAACACTTAGAGATACCTTTCTCCGTCAACCTCTAAGTTAAGTTAGTTTTGCACACATTATTATTATTCCCTTAGGTTCCAAGTGGAACATAGGACTTCAACCGCATATCTACATTTCATCTTGTCCACTGAAGTCCTCTTTAGCCAGCTTCACGATTGTTCATAAGCTCTCATCTTTTCCTCACACAATCTCCCCCATGTAACCCTAGGGCACCTGACTTACCGTTTCCACTCGAGGTTCTGCCTGGTGTGCTAGATCGTTCCACGGTTTCCTGAGAGTGTATCCGATCCATCCTCACTTACTTCGACATATCTGTTCGGCAACAGGTTGCTGGTTGTTTTTTCCCAAAGTTTCTTGTTGCTTATCCTTTTCAGTCAGCTAACTGATCGCCAGTATAAAGCCAGAGAATGAAGGTGTTGATAAGAGCCTGAAGCTTGCTGTTGGTAGTCGTTAGCCATAACCGTACGGCATATTTATATCTTTGGGTGAATTCACATTTGCTTAGTTGGTGCATGCAGAGTTCAAGTTAAACACTACATCAAGCCATCTAATTTCTTACTGAAGCTCTAAAGAATTGAAAAGTGTGCGCTATTTGATGACCAGATACTGACAAATGTAGCTTAGCTAGCTAGCTATCCTTAAATATCACTCAAAATCTAGTCTGCATTTTGTCTTTTTTCGCTATTGAAACTAATGCTTCTATTGTAATGCATTTCATCTAACAGGTATCGACCACCTGATGTGCTTCTAGGTGATAAAAATTACTCTGGTCACATCGATATTTGGGGAGTTGGTTGCATTCTTTATGAAATGACAACTGGCTACAGTCTTTTCCCTGGTACCTCAAAAGAAGATCAAGTAAAGATTATCTTTAAAAAATTTGGTATGTTGATGTTACTTTTCAGTCTGTACAAATTTAAAAATGTAAATATGTAAATTTCTAGTGAAATTATCTTTAGAAGTTGACTATACGTTAGTTAGTCAGAAGAAAAGTGTACATGGAGAAGAAATATTTCAGGTATATATATAAGGTGACCAAATATAAATTTCAGGTGAACATAGAGAAAACAGAGGTGATGAAGATTCCCGGGCAACATCACCAACAGCAACAACAGACATTAATCAGCATAACAGGAAAGAACCTGAAAGAAACAACCTCCTTCACCTACCTTGGAAGCATCGTTTCAACTACAGGCGGACGGAACTGATCAGGATATCAAAGCAAGAATCGGAAAAGCGAGACAAGCTTTCACTACTCTCAAGTCTGTGTGGAGGTCAACAACTCTCAGCATCAAAAATAAGATCCGGATTTCAACTCCAATGTGAAGTCAGTGCTACTATACGGATCAGAGACTTGGCGCGTCATGAAGAGCATCTCAAACAAACTACAGACCTTCATTAACAGTTGTCTTCGCTCAATACTCAAGATCAGATGGCCAGCCAGAAAAGATCAGCAACAGAGATCTCTGGAAGCGAACCGACCAGGAATCGATTGTGCAACAAATAGGAAGGAAGAAATGGAGATAGATCGGCCATACTCTGAGGAAACCATCAAGTGACATCACTAGACAAGCCATTGCTCGAGTGGAACCTGAAAGGGAAGCGGTGAGTTGATCGTCAGTGCGAGGGTGACTTGGAGGAGGTCATGTGAAGAGGAGATGAAAATGTGTGGGCAGACATGGAGCCAGGTGAAGACTCTAGCAGAGAACCGAACGCAATTGAGACGCACGGCTGAAGCCCTATGTTCCTCTAGGAAATAAAACAGTAATAATAATAATAAATAGAGTTTTATGAGTTTCATCTGAGCACTTATAATAAGACATTCATTGATTCGCCTATACTTATTTGATCACTGAGTTTAATTACTTTCGAATAATATTTTGTGCTCAGGTGATGATCATAAAAACAGAAGAAAAAATGTGATGCCTTCGTATTATGTAACTATTTCTAATTGTGAATTGATTCAGCTGCAATATTATTTTCTTTCTAGGTAACTTGTGATCACAAGGCACTAATTTACTAATAGATTATTTTTGAAAAAAGTTATCTTGAATTCCTGAAATTTCTTTTTTCCGACTAACTAAAGATCGGTATTTTTTTCTGATCTTCGTACGGTTGTTAGAGAAACTATGTGATTTCAGTCTTGACATTCCTAAGAAATTATCACTGGCAAAGCACAAAAGCTTTTCAAATATATGTTGTACCTCTTTCAGATCAACGTAAAATTTCACAGAAAAGGAGAAACAAAATTGTTAAACAATTCTGTCACTACTGTGTTTTGAATTCTGTCTAGTCAGTAACCCTAGAAAATCACTCGAATGTAACATTTATGATTTTTAAGGTGATTAACTCGATAAATTTCATCATGATCCAACATCAGCTAAAGATTCATTGTAGACGATAGAGTAATGGAGAGCTGTTCGTCCTTAACTTAAGACTCCTCATCAGTCCTCACTCACAACTCTATCTGGGATCAAAGCTGGGACTTTCAGGTTGCGAGGCTAACTCATTGGTCGATTAGCCGCCACTTAAGTCGGAATTCAATGCTTCATGAATTGTGACTTCCATCGGTTAGTGATATAACCCTACCACCAACTAAATGCTACCAGTGGGTATCCTATTTGCCGTAAGTCGTGGACCAAGAATTACCAATAACAGCATCAAGGTATACATTTAGTAACCACTAACGAGCTGAAGATTGATATTTAGATTACTTAAAAACCCACATTAAAACAAATCCGAATTCCTACAAATCTCACAGTCTAAAAATCAATCTGCACCTCACTGCTGGCCACTAGATGAATGTCTTGAAGCTGCAGTGGGAGGTCATGACCAGTGCGACCCCATCACATTATGGTATAAGGGATACCCATCGATAGCATTTAGTTGGTGGTAGCGCTGTGTCACGAATTGATGGAAGTCAGAATTCATGCGGCATTGAATTCTGACTTAAGTGGCGGCTAATCGACCTATGAGTTGGTCTCGTAACCTGAAAGTTCCGACTTTGATCCTTTGTAGAGTTGTCAGTACCAAATTGTGAACAGTCTCAAACTAGGACAAGAAACGTATCCATTACTCTCTGGTTATTATTGATTCTGTAAATCATGTTGGATCGTGACGAAATTTACGTCGAAGTTATTCAGAATCCTGATAAAACTCATTTAGTCACTTAAAAGTTTTATATATTACCAAAGAGTTGGTCGTACCAAACATTCTATGCATGCAGTTTTTCTAAAACTCGCATAACTTTGAGTTTAATTCCATTACGGAATAATGCCATCTGATGATGAAACTCACAATGGTACCGTATTATTTATTCATCGATGACATTTCAAGCACAATTTATTGCTCATAATCTTATGATACGGTTATATAATTATACTCTACTACACCTATATATGTATTTTTATTATTCCTTGGTGTTGCGAGTAGAACATAGGGCTTTACAACAACACATGTTCACTTTGTTCTATTCTCTGCAGTCCTCTTCTGCCGGGTCGACGATTGAACATAATCTCTCATCTCCTCCTCGCCACAGGATCTCCTCCATGTCACCCTCGCATTGACGACCCACTCGTCGCTTACCATTTGTACTCCACTCGATCAATGGCCTGCACTGAGCGTGATGTCATTCGATGACCTGATCCATCTCAATTTTCTGCATATTTGTTAGACAACTGGCTCTTGGTTGGTTTTTTCATCGCCAGAGTATTTGCTGCTAATTATTCCTGGTCGGCTGGCTGGCAGGCCATTAGATCTTCAGTGTGGAGCCACTCAGCGGAGGTGGCAGTTGTTGATAAAATTCTGCTGTAACTTGTTGGAAATCTTTTTCGTGACACGCAGTACAAGTTGTCTGAACTGTATAGAATAACTGACAGTCTTCATATTTGTGTTGAAAACTCTACTACAGTATCCAGGATCTAAGTAACTTGTCTTTTTTTTAAACATTTATATCTAATTTATTCTCTCTTTACACTTTATTTTTCAATAATCTATTTTAGGAATTCCACCGGAATGCTATTGGCCAGGTTTAAGGGATAATCCAAAATTTATAGAATACTTCAGTCCACATCAAAACGATCGTCTTAAAGCATCCAACTTTTCTAAATCATCATCTGATCTTCGTGAATCCAATGAAAAAGTTATAGTCTTAAAACAAAATAAAGTGGATGAGACTAGTTCAATGAATATTGACGAGTACAATAGTCATATAATGAAAAAACTTTCATCTTCTGCTTCTAGATTAAATCCAGAAGGACAAGATTTATTATTCTCATGTCTTGCACTTGTTGGACATCGTCGAATCACAGCATTTAATGCATTAAAACACACATATTTTAAAGATATTCTACCCTCTGGTATAAATGTACATGATTTATTACCAGAACAATCTATCGCTTTTCTTGCTGGTGAACACATAAAATCGAAATTTAGATCTGAATTCGAGTATACTAAGAGTAATAAAAACTCAATCGCTCTAAGTTCTGCAGCATCCTATGGTAATGAACTAAAAGGCTACGAGAAGTTATCCAAAAGTTTAACAAATCTGAATACAAATGTTCCTCACCTATCAAAAGAGTCAAAAGTATCAAATTCTCTGGCGCACATACGTAACTCAATTGATCAAACCTCATCCTCTAAAGATAGTCAACCTTCTCAACCGATTCAATCGAAAGAACCACAGAAATCTCGTCAACGTCGTCATCATCTCTATCATACCAAGCGAAATGCCTACACTAGCCAGAAGCTTGATTCACCTAAAAGTTGTAGCCTCTCTGACATTGACCATGCGCTTAGTGTATGCAGTGATTATGATTTAGTATATCACAGGAATGTGAAACAACGTCAGCCGCCGCACCGAAAACATCAACATCAACAACAACAATTTCATTAACATCAATAGATAAAGCAGTAGATTTAGAAAAGCAGACGAAATCATCCAGCAGAAAATTTAGATCGATTTCATCAGTATTAGGAAGTAGATTATTCTCTTATCCAAGAAGTAGTAGTAGTATTTGCAGTAGTGTATGCAGTAACAGTGTTAGTAGTACTACATCAATTAGCAATCAGTCATCAAAGAGTTTGAAAACATCTCTAAGGCATAAACTGTCTTCAATCCAATCAAAAACAAAAGGACTTCGAAATCGGATAAAATCTTCATCGCACAGTCAATTAACCATTGAACGTCCATCCAGTGCAGTACCAATAATAACAAAATCTTCTCAGCAGACAAATGCTAACTATTCAGGAGATATGAAGAGTCGAAATTCCAGTAATAGCAATAACAATACTATGACACATGAAAATAATGACGTAATTACACGCGGTGTCGAAAAGAATGTGACCATTGGTAAAACTTGTGATGTAAAAAGTGACCAGGTAGGCTAAATTTTTTTTTATCAAATCTTTACATTTTTATAATTAATCATTTTTGTGCAATACAAGCATGAGATGATGATAATAATAATAATAGAATGAGATGCTCAAGTATTGATCTCTTAATTAGCTTTGTCGATTATTATTGCGACATTTAGTAAAATATATGCGACTAACCCAGAGTAATAATCCTGTAATCTTTTAAACTATTGCTAGCAAAGGTGTGCATCTACTGTGCATCTCATATGATTTGCCACCTGATGAGTCAACTAAAAAGTAAAGAGTTGTGAAAGTCAATTTGCCTTAATACTTATATAAATGTATATATATATATATATTAGTTATATTTATATCAACTTAAAATTATTATATCACGAGGTAACTAGAATGGCTGTTTGAAGAGCCTAGTTACTATTGTGCTGTGAACCACCTTTTATAGACTAATATCTACCTGCATTCTACTGGGAAGATAAGTTATTAAACATTTCTTATCAAATCTTTGCCTATTTTCAATATTTCATCTGCATATTTCTTCTTCTTCCAATGTCTCGACAAGTGGAACTTCAACTGTGCTTACTATTCCCCTGTAGTATGGCACATACACCACTTATGATTGTGTTCTTCAAGTGTGATGCATAACAGACAGTCTATCCATCTTCTAATTTGTCTAATACTAATTTTTTGTTATTAAATTTCGAGTGATAATGCTCGTTTGTTAAGTTCAAATTAGTATAACAGCAATGTGACATTATACTGCTTGACTAAACAGTCAAGTTTAAAGTTTGATTACAAACTGCCTTTAGTTAGAGAACCACTGAAAACTATCAGGGAGGATTGGACGGCTTTGAGACTCTAGTTTGATGCTCTTTATCAGTACTCACCTATATCCTCAGCTTCAAGCTACAAGGCGAAATCGTTGACCCCTCAGCCTCTGGTACAAGAATTCTGACTTCGACCCATTAGCGATATAAAGCGTTATCGCTAGCCAATGTTATCGTTAGGTATCAGTTGTCACACCCAGCCTGATGGATTCCGCTGTTCGCAAATTCCCACTGGAATTTCGGGTAATTTCTTCTTTGAGTCAGAGACTTATGAGCACTAGATGAATTTTAAAGTTATGGTTTCAATTTTGACCATGAATTGACTTCCGTTAGTGATCCACTGAATGGTCAAAGAACTCAGCTTGTAACTTGAAAGTTCTGGGTTCAATTCCAGGCGGGGTCAAATGTATGTACCACTGAAGAGTCCCGAACTGGGACGAAACAGCTGTCGAGTACTGAATGTCTTTTAATGGTTCTCTAATTGATGTCGATTCGTGATCAAACTTGAAATCAGTTCAATCCCTGAAAACCATCACTTGTAGATCAACTTTGTTTGAACTTTATTGAAACTCATTAACAACCGTAAATAAATTTGAAGTCAAGAAGTACTCAAGTTCTTCTAGTTTATATATTTGAGAACATCTTATCTAAGTAAATCTATATGAAAAAAAAACAAGTAACTGAAGTATTTTCTTTAATAACCACTGGATTCCAATCTTTCTGATTCAAAGCTTAATGTATTAACTAAATAACTGTATATTATTTTGGTGTAATAATAATATACGATGTTTTAAGTTCTCATGAACAATAAAAGAAAATTTAAAACTTCTACCAATTCGTAATTTTAGTGCAACAACCAGCCAGTGACATTGGCGGGTGCTTGTTCTCACTCCGAACTGGATGGACCCCACTGCTCACGACTTCTACCTAGAACGCCAGACAACTTTGTCCTGCAGCCAGTCACTAGTGAGCATCAGATTAATTTTCGGCAGTTAGTTTGAAGGGATTTGATTTTTTTCAAGTTGACCACGGGTCGACATCAGTCAGAGAACCACTGGAAACCAGGAAGTACTGAATAGCTGTTTCACCCTAGTTTGGAACTCATCATCTGGAGTTCGAACCCAGGACCTTCGCGTTACAAGTCAAACTCATAGACCCACGAATTCTAACTTCAACCAACTCTTGATTTTAGAGAAAGGTTAGGGAAGTTGGAAACATAACATTACAAGAAAACGATACAGTACACAGGATAAATAGCAATATTTTGAAAATTTTGAGTGAAAAACTAGGCTATGTCAGTAAAAACCTCAAAAATCTCGACCTACGTAACGAGTAATTTCTCACTGATTAGAGCCATTACCTTGTCTGGTCACCTACATCTGTCGCACTTCACTTTACTTCACTTTAGCCTGTATCATTATATTTAAAATGACTCTGAAAGTTACTCCTAGGTGTAATTCAACTTGTTTTGACTTCAATACGCTCACTCTAGCTAGCATTTGTGTAGTAATTGTGCCAATCGATTTTTCATTGTTCAACATTTTTTGATGCATATTTAAAACAAAAAGAAGATTTAGCCTTTTTTAATTTACTAGTGAATTGTTCGTTTCTTCGCTTCACTTATGCCTAAAAATCTCGACCCAGAAGGCGACTGAATACTTTACCATTTTGTGTATAGATAAATAACTTGAAATATGATTAATTATATGCAAGGTCAAAGTATAGAAATGCTTTATAAAAATGACGAAATCATGTGCATAAATAAAGTAATTTGTAAAATGCTTCCGGTTTATTTATCACTTCTTTTTTTTAAGAAAAATTATATACATTTTTATCAACCTGTCGATTAGATAAATAAAATGTCTGTTTAAGTCTTTCTAAGTCTAAGAAAAGGTGAAACTCTAGTAAAGGGAACTTTATGTTCAAAGAAAAACATTTTTGACATTGCATGGTGGCGGTGATCGAAATTTATCCATGGAGTCGGCTCGCTAGTCAGTCATTGAAATAACTCACACAATGCTTCTGTTTACACTGCCACTCCTGCTGACTGGCCCTTCACATCTGTCAAATGCAAATTAGGGAATAATACCACTTCATTATATGGTCACAAAGCATAAACAACTCGGAATTCCAGCAGTACAGCGAACCAACTGATAAGCTATTGTAACAACAGAAGACAAGGGCCAGGCAACAGATCGTTTATTGAGAAAATCAACAGATATTTATAGATTTTTATTTACACTGTTATTCGTTATTATTAGCAGAGAAGCAGTGTCTTCTAATTAGTTGTTTTCCTGGTGAAGGTTATTCTGTCATCTCTTTTGCTGTCGTTTCTTAGACAGTCCGTTGATATATCTGCTAATCGTGTCCGCCCACTCTAAGTTTGCTGTGATTGGCTGTTGAGTTAGTCTTTGTTCTTGTTTTTTTTCTCATGACCAAGATTTGGAACGTAAACATTGACGCAAATTACTGTCTATCACTTTTGGCTATCAGACAGCTCTCACCGATGAAATGAAGATGAATAAGGCCCTCGAGTGGAACGCGAATGAAGAACGATGAGTTGGACTTCCGTGTGTGACATGAAAGTGATGAAAGCATGTGAACAATCTTAGAGATAGCTATAAGAAGACGGCAGCGAACATCGTCAAATGAATTTCACTCGGAACCCAATGGATGAATAATAATAATATATGATAAGCTTTCTTATTATTCAATTGGCGAAATCTTGAGCGGAAAGTGCGTCAAAAACTTCATTTCAAAAAGCAATAACAAACAAATAACATTCTAAACAGTATTGAGACACTAATCCAAGAAGCTTATCTGCCAAAAAGATTCCACTCAGTCTGAAAGCAGTTCGAAAGTGTCAAACACGATGAAAACGTCCCACTGTCTTCGTTGAAAACGAACATGCAATGACCACTTTACGGATATCATTAAACCCTTTACAATAACCAACAGATTAGCAGTATAACAGCAGAATACTTAATTTGCAGAGGCGTGTGTCCCTTGGTTTTCATTGATGTAACCTTGGATCCTCTATTGGTAAAACTAGCTGATGATGTGATCATTTGACTTTCGTTAATCTGAAATCAATCTGGAAATCTACTGAACTCAGCATTTAGAACAAGACTGGAATTTTTAACACCAATGTCAACTCACTACTTATATATGGGTCAGAAACTTAGCATGTCACCAAAAACATTTCAAACAGACTGAGGCAGACTTCCACCTACATCTGCTTTTGCTGGCTCCATACTGAAGATCCGTTAGCTGGCTAGAAGTGACTTGCAAAAAGAAACTCTGGGAACAAACCAACCAAGAACCTACTCCAATACAAATATACAAAAGGAAGTAAAGATGATTTGGATAGGCGCCGAGAAGATCGCTGAGAAACATCACGTGTCAGGCAATCACTCGAGTGCAGTGCGTATGGAAGACAACGAGTTAGGATAGGAGGGTGACACAAATGAGATGGTACGAGGAGGAAATGAGATCTTACAAGCATTCCTAGGGCCAGCTAAAATTGACTGCAGAGAATGAGACGAATCGGAGATGTACTGTTGAAACCCTATGTTCCATTCAGAACCTTGAGGGAAAAACCATATAACAAAACTGTTACTCTTACCTTTTTCCTACTCACTTACTTGTCTCTATCGTTAACACGCGGTGTTCTTTTCTTCCTTAAATGAATAAATGTTCGACCTATGACAGATTATCTTATGGTTCATTTATTTTTGTCCAATTAAACAATGGTCCCTTTGATCTGTATTGTTACCGAGCTGCTTATCAGACTAAAGGTTTATCTTTCAGAAACATACTTCAAGACTAAATTTATGTTGAAAGAATATCATCAAGGGTAAAGTAAAGAAAAAGGGTTTTATTATTATTATTCCTTTGCGTTCCAAGTGGAACATAGGGTTTCACAACAACACATCTCCACTTTGTTGTATTGTCTGCTGTCCTCTTCATCTGAGTCCACGATTGTCCATAATCTCTCGTCTCCTCCTCCCCAAATGATCTCCTTCATGTCACTCTTACACCAATAACCTACTCGTCATTCCCCATTTCGATTCTATTGGAGCTGTGGCCTGCATTATGCGCGATGTCATTCGACGGCCTCCTCAATGTATGCCCGATCCATCTCCACTTTCTCCTACATATTTGTTGAGTGATCAGTTCTCACCTGTTGGTTTGTTCTCAGCCAGCCAGAGTTTCTTGTTGCTAATTATTTCTGACCAGCTGGCCATTTGATCTTCAGTATTCACCTAGCGGAGGCAGATGTTGGTAAAAGTCTTCTGTAACTTGCTGGAAATGCTTTTCGTGAGATGCAGTGCAAGTTTCTGACCCGTGTAGAAGAACAGACTTGACATTGGTGTTGAAAATGCAAACCTTGTTCCTTATGCTGTGGTGGAGTGCAGAAGATTTACAAACTGTTTTCAGGTTGATGAAGGCGTATCTTGCCTTTCCGATTCTGACTTTGAAATCTTTCCTTTTCGCCTGTAGTTGAAACTATGCTTCCCAGATAAGTGAAGGAAGCGCAACCTCTTTTAAACAGTTTCACTTTCTGCTCGTATATAGATTAAAATTCCGAATAGATGAATACAATGAAAGTGTAATTCTGTACAGTAGTTCAGCTTAGTCCTTAAAATTTGATAGCGCAAAAGATTGGTAATTCTCTGATTAATCTGAACCAGGTATGTTGAGGACAGCATTTTTCTGATAACCCACTCACAAATCTTAGTGCCATCACCTGTACAACAGTGCACTTCTGTTGCCTATACCTTGGCTAAACCAGTTTTTATAAAACAAATAGAAATACAACAGTACAATTTGTTAGTCACATCGTGGAGAGAAAACATTTCTCTTCACTGAACAAAATCTTTGTTCCTGTTGTATGCATAAGTGGTTATATGTATCACTTATAATGGCATATAGCGATTTTGAATGAAATATGTCGCGTCAAAATCATGAATTAATACAAGTTAGAATTCGCTCGTTATTTAGAAAGCTCCCAGTGGCTTGACTTGTAACCAGAAGGTCCTGGGTTCGAACTCCAGTGTGTACGTACTACTGACGAGTCCCGAACTAGGACAAACCAGTTAGCTGTCGAGTACTCTCTGGTTTTCAATGATTCTCTGACTGGCATCGATCCGTGGTCAAACTTGAAGATAGTGTTATAGACAGCTTTCACAGCTAAACATTGCACAGTTGATAAATTGTGACTAAAATATAAGTATGACTGGCAATTAACTTGTATCTTTTTTAAAGATCTCCATTGTTATCAGTCACTTATTTGTTACATTTCACATGTAGAAATAAAGTGTTATTCAATTTATAAAACTCCTAAGGTATATGTACTCTTCAGTGCACTTTACTAAGTACTAGTATATAAAATAATATGTATATTACATTCAACACATTGTGCAATCTTTACTATTTTAGTAGTCAAACAAATTCTCCCCTCGAAACCCTTCGTTTTTATCCTTTTTCCCTAAGTATGAAAAAACCGTTTTCATTTTAATTTTACTATTCTTACAGAAATATTTACCAATACAAGGTTCGCTGGATAATTGTCTTAAATATCCTATAGAAAGCATAAAAGGTATCAATGAAACTTCTGTACATACAACTAAACCAATTCATATAACCTACAGTCCATCCTATCAACAAGGTGATAAAATTAATTCAGAATATACTAATCATTTATTAAAAAATTCTAGCATTTCTATAAATCATTGTAAAGATATTCAATTGAATAATCAATCATCACCATCATCAGAATTTATTAAACAACATATTCGTATAAATGACTTAAATTCAAAAAGTGGACATCCTGCACACAATTTTATATCAAATATTTTACAACATTCAAATAATTGCCGTAAAAGTTGGAATAGTTCTGGTTCATCTAATCTTGGTAAGTGGAAAACAATCTCTTTAATATATATATTTATATATATACATATGTATAACTTTGACGTTCTGTATTATTTATTATTAATGGTTCCCTTGGGTTCCTAGTGGAATATAGGGCTTCAGCTGCACGTCTCCACTTGCTTCTGTCTTCTGCTGTACTTTTCACCTCCATCCATGTTAGTCCATACTGTTTCAACTCCTCTTCACACGAGCTCCTCCATGTCACTCTTGGACGTCCCACTCGCTGCTTCCCTTTCGGGTTCCACTCGAGCTATGGCATGACGCGCGATGTCACCCAACGGCCTCCTCAGCGAGTGTCCAATCCATCTCCACTTCCTCCTGCATATTTGTTGGGCGATCAGTTCTTGTTTTGTTTGTTCCCATAGTTTCTTGTTGGTGATTCTTTCCGACAATCTGATCTTCAATATAGAGCGAAGACAATTGTTGATAAAGGTCTGCAACAGGCTGTTGGAAATATTCTTTGTGACACACTGGCCAGGTTTCTGATCCGTATAGAAGAACTGACTTGACGTTTGTATTGAAAATCCGAATTTTGTTGTTGATGTTGAGTGACGAAGATTTCTAGATTGGTTTCAGGTTGATGAATGTGTTTCTCGCCTTCTCGATTCTCGATTTGACATCCTTGTCCGTTCCTCGTGTAGTTGAGACAATGCTCCCTAGATAAGTGAATGAAGTAACCTTTTTCACATCCCTCCTTTTGATGGTGATTGGTGGTGGATGTTGCTGCTGTTGTTGTTGTTGTTGGTCGGTTGGTTATTTTCGTAACCTCCGTCTTGTCTATGTTCACCTGGAGTCCTGTCTTTGCTGCTTCTTCGACCATTTCATCGGTCTTCGCTTGTTAGTCTTCGATTTTGTGTGACATCAAACATTAATATTATTCCTTTGGGTTCTGATTGAGACGTAGGGGCTTCAGCAGTACATCTGTATTTCATCCTGTCTTCTATAGTCCCCTTTAGCTGGCTACACGATTACCCATAATCTCTTATCTCCCCCTTCACACTATCTCGTCCATGTCACCCTCAGACACAGGCACAATTGATCGGTTCCCGCTTGTGATCCATTCTAGCGATTGCCTGGTTTGGAGCGTGGTGTCACTTAACAGTTTCCTAAGAGGTTTTCCAATCCATGCCTGTTTTCGTCGACATGTTTGTTGAGCGATAGATCCTTGATTGGTTCCTTTTCAGAGCCTCTTGTTGTTAATCATTTCTGGTAGGTCATCTGATTTTCAGCATGAAATGAAGGTGATTGTTGATAAAAATCTTAAGCCTGTTCAAGTTTTCCTTTTCGTGACGCGCAGTGCTAGTTTCTAACCCATATAGAAAACCTTACTTGATATTAATGTTGAAAATTCGAATTTTTATTCTATACTCTGATTGCAGAAGATTTCCAAACTGATTTCAATGTGCCTTGACTTTCCTATCCTGGTTTTGACATCCTTAATCGTTCCGCCCTAAAGATGAAATGATGCTATCTAGATAAGTGAAGGAAATGACCACTCTTCTTGATGTTCTAATTAATTTATTTTGAAAGTGTCAGTTTGCAGGGATTGGCTTAATCTGAAGTTAGATGACAGACCGAAGTCAATCAATCTTCTGCAAATCCACATTCGAAAGTTCATCTAATATTTACTAGTAACAAACTATCGGATGAAATTACCTGAAGTTTTTATGAAAAGTCAGAACCAGTGGGGCCTACCAAATCGTGTGAGAGGACAAATACACTTCGTTGATATTGGCTGGTGGTTGAGCTTTACATAACAAAATATCAGAAGTTAGGACCTATGGGCCATTAGATGGTCATCTGGATTCAGTTTCTGGTGAGGCAGTAGGCGCTTGCTTTCTACTGAAGAGTCCCATACCGAGGGGAAGAATATACCTAGTAAACTCTGATTTCCAATGGTTCATTAAATGGTGCCAGTTTGCGATTTAACTGAAGTCCAGGAAGGTATCAGGAGCAGACAAAATTCCCCTTCCCCCTCCAAATCACTGAAAACGGATCCAGATTATGGCAGATGTTCTCACGCCATTATTGTGAAAGGTTTGGAAAGGAGGAAAGATGCCAACTGGCTGAAAAAAGGCTATCTTGTCAAGCTACCAAAGAAGGCCGACTTAGGCCTCTACAAAAAGTGCTGTTGTCCACGCCAAGTAAAATACTAAGTCGTTTCATCCTGGGGAAAATGAAAGACACACTGGATGTAGAACTCCGCCACCCACCGGAACAAGCTAGATTCCCGAAAAGCAAATCATAGGCTGGTCGAATGGCAACGCTACGCATCATTGTCATCGAACAAAGCATAGAATGGCAATCAAACATCACTCTACCTCAGCTTCATCAACTTGGAAAAGGCCTTTACCAGACACCTTTGACAGAGAAGTAATTTGGAAACTACTTCAACACTACGGTGTGCAGTGCCCAAGTCTTTATCAGCCTGACTCAACAGATATGTAACAATGCAACGTGTCAGGTGATCCACAACGAGCAACTGAACGAGGCTCTTGAAGTGAATATAGGAGTAAGACAAGCTAGCTGCCTATTATCACTAACGATGCTATTCTTAATTGTGGGGAACTGAATTATGCGCCAGACTGTGCTTGGGAGTGAGAAGACAGGAATACACTGGACCACTGATAAGAAGACTCTAAAAGATCTGGATATCGTGAATAGATGATTTAAGTTCAGTGTCACACAAGCTCGAAGATTTTCAGGTGAAAACGAACAAACTGGCAGAAGAGGCTGGCAGCGAAGATATGACTTCATGTAAACATACAGAAGACGGAGGTGATGAAGATAACCAACCAACAGCAACAGCGACAACAACCAGCAACTATCACCATCAACGAGAGAAATGTGATACATGTTACTTCCTTCAGTTATCTAGGAAGCATCGTTTCAACTATAGTCGGAAGGGATGAAGATGTCAAGACCAGCCAGAGTTAGAAAGGCAAGATATGCCTTCATCAACCTGAAACCAGTTTGGAAATCTACTGCACCCAACCTCAGCATAAAGAAGAAGATTCGGATTTTCATCACCAATGTCAAGTCGGTCCTTCTACACTGGTCAGAAACTTGCGCTGCATCTCACGAAAAGCATTTCCAGAAAGTTACACACTTTTATCAACATCTGCCTCCTCTAGCTGAATACTGAAGATCAAATGGCCAGCTGGTCGGGAAGAATTAGCAACAATAAACTCTGACTGACTGGGAACAAACCAACAGGTGAGAGCCGATTACTCAACAAATATGTAGGAGAAAGTGGAGATGGATCGGGCATACATCGAGGAGACTGCCGAAGGACACCGCTCGCAATGCAGGCCATATATCGAGTGGAATCCAAATGGGAATCAACGATTAGGTGGGTCAAAATTGCGAGGTTGACATGGAGGAGATTGTTTGGGGAGGAGGAGATGAGGGATTATGGGCAATCGTGGACTCAGTTGAAGAGGACAGTAGACAATATAACAAAGTGGAGATGTGTTGTGGTGAAGCCCTAAATTCCACTCGGAATGCAAAAGAATAATTATAATAATAAAGGCTATGTTATAGTAATTCAAATAACCAGTGTGAATATTAATCAGACTTGTAAACTTTAATATATTTAACAGCTGAATAACCTCAGTGTGTTTTTAAAACAATAATATAGACTGATCAGGCTGTATTTAGCATCACATGTGCTACACTTACCGTCGTTGCCAGAATTTCACTCGTTTTGTTTACTCGTGAATTTAATGTTTACAAAATACGATTTCTTTTCCTAGTGTTAGTCTGTAGGCATTTGATTCGTCTGTAGTTTGATCACAGATTGATGTCAGTTAGAGAACCATTGAAAACTAGAGAGTACTGGACAGATGTTTCATCTTCCCTTGCGACTGTTCATTAGTATGCAACCATGACTCCATCAAGAAATGAACCTAGGACTTTCAGGTTATGAGGTTAGCTCACTGATCACTCAATCACAATGATAGGATCCATTATAGGCCCATGAATTCTCAGCCTAAGACAAAACACCTGTCCAGTGCTTCCAAGCTTTCAATGGTTCTTTAAATGACAATAATTCGTGATCGAACTTGAAACCAGGCAGATCCTCAATAAGTGACGTTTAAAAATATCTTTTACAATGAATGGAGGAGGTGAAAAGTCAGCCCCTTGAAAATCAGTAAAATATAATTTAGTCAAATAAAAAGTTTCGAGCTAAAAGCATTATTATTATTACTACTACTAAGTAAGTATGATACTGTATATGTTTTTTTATTTATTCCCTTACGTTCCCAGTGGAACATAGGGCTTCAAGCTAGAGGCTTGAAGTTTCGGTAGCAGTGGTATTTATTTTTACAAGATGGGATTGCTAGCCTCCTGCCCAACCTTCCCACTTTACCAGTCTTATTACTGGCTTAGCGAGGTAAAGGAGTGCGTCGGTGGCCGGGGATCGAACCGTCGACCACCAGAGTGGTTAGCGAGCATTCTACCGCTGTGCCACCGACGCAAGTATGATATTGATGTATGCCTAAATATTTGTATTAAGCTTACTATACTCTATTGATTCACTTCACTAATACTTATAACTACTTTTTGAGTATGACGGACGAATACACAAATATGTCTAGCAATATAAATCCTTGTTCTCTATGTGTCAACAAATTGTCAACAAAAGGAAGCAATAAATGTGATAAATTATTAGAGCTAATAGATCTCAAACAAATTTTTTTTTCATAAATGAGAACAATATGATAGATAAGTGATAAATGAAACATCGATATAAGATTAGATAGATATAAATTTTGTAAGCTTATCATACATACAGAATCACAATGAGACATATGATCGATTATTTTTTGTTTTACAGGAATTCACAATAACTCAAATCACTACATCACTCACTATTCATTAAATTGACAATTAGTAATTCTAAATAATAATGTGTGTTAGTGGTTCAGTAGGAAGAATACTCTGAAGCCACGCGGGTGATCAGCAGTTCGATTCCCGACCGACGCACTGTAATACTCTGCTTAGTTTATTAGCCGATAGTAAAGATGAAAAAGAGGCAAGGTTAGGAATGAGGCTAACAACCCCATCCGATAAAAAGCAACATCTTCGTTAGTGAAGCTTCAAAAACTCGAAGTCCAGCGTTCCACTCGAAAGGCAAATGAATGAAACAGAAATTCAAAATAATGTTTGAAGTTGTAAAATGAACCAAAATTAGAACAAGATTCATATAAATAGCACTTGGGATACTTACCTATCAGCTAACTGGTTCACAACTCTAATTCATTCAATATTTTCAAGTATTGGTTTTGTAGGGAATTTTGTTTAATTGGTTGGAGGATTTCATCATGAGCTGACATCAGTTAGAGAACCATTGGAAAACCTGCAGGGTGTGCTGAACAGCTGTTTCCTCCTAGTTTCGGACTCCTTACAAAACCAATACTTGAAAATTATTCTGGTGTTCACTAGCGACTGACCCTATTCAGGCAGTTAACCTGGGGTTCTAGTGGGAAGCTGTGACCAGTAGGGTGCACCAGAATGAAGGTGAGGCAGTAACTCATCGAAGAAGACATTGCGAAGTCGTCGCGCTATGTGATGAATTGACAGAAGTTAGAATTCATGGGCTGGCCACTGGATCGGGTCCAAGTGGCTTAATGGTTCAAGAGCTCAGCTTGTAACCAGAAGGTCCTGTGCTTGAACCCCGCTGTGTGGGTGCGTACTGGTGAAGAGTCCCAGACTAGGCTGAAGAAACAGGTGTACAGTGCTCCCAGGTGGTTTTCCAATGGTTCTCTAATTGATGTCAGCTCATGATGAAATCCTCCAACCATCATTCATGTTCCGTAGAAGAAAAGAATTCCAGAAATTCGATCCTGAACCACAGGTTACCTCTTGTCTACATAATGATGTCGTTAAATGTTCTATTTCTAACATCCATTGCCCACATGCATTCGAATATTTCTGCACGTTTTTTCATAGGTTTATATTATGATATGTGTGAATTGTATGGGCTTTTTGTGCACTTCAATAATGGTTTGATAAATTACGAATTTGACACTGAAAAATAAAAACATGTACTGGGTACAACTTTAGAATTAAGCTGTACATCAGGTGGCATCAACTTTTTAGTAAGACACTACTCACAATCACCTAAAACCAACTTTAACGCATTTGTAATAATTCCCATCCAGGCATTAGTGAAAAGCTGATTACAGGATTTCATCATGAGCTGAAATCAGTTAGAGAACCATTGGAAAACCTGCAGGGTGTACTGGATAGCTGTTTCGTCCTGGCTTAGGACTCCTCATAAGTACACACCCTGTGGGGCCTGAACCCAGGACCTTCTGGTTGCGAGGCTACCGAGCTCGTAGACCATTCAGCCACTGGGACTCCATCCAATGGCCAAACCAGGAATTCCAGCTTCTACCAATTCACGACATAGCGCGACCGCTAACCAATGTCTTTGACGAGTATTTTTCCTCACACTTGACTTGCTGTACCCTAACCAATCAGTCAAATCCCTAAAAACCAATACCTTAATATTGATGAAAAGAACAAAACGAGTAGTTCAGCGAAGAGTCTCCTATTAGCGAATTCATTCACTTAGCTGTACAATCGTAATTGTATATAATTATTTTTGTATGTTTGTGTACATTAAATTTGTCAGATAGCAATTAAAATTAGTTAGGGTTGTTGTTTATGTCATCGAACTATTTGGAAAAATGTGATGAGTAATCAAATTTTGGCTAAAGAGGGGTAAAGATTAGTAACAGGTAGTGGTGATGAGTTGTCAAAAAATAATTGTTGATGTTAGTCAATGCATAAGAGGAGCTGAATAACTGTATTAGAGTTACATAGTAAGATGAATAGTTTAATGAATGAGCTGTAATCAGGATGCGCTCAGAAACAAAGGAAAATGTAAAATTACGTAAGAGTTCAAAAGAAATACAAGACTTATAAAAAAAATCAAGTTAGTTGGAAACAACAAGGTTTTTGTTGTGATGATAGTAGAAATCGCTGTTTTTAGTTGATAGAGCGACTTGTCTAATAACGAACCAGACTTTAGTCTACTAACTAGTACACTAGTCCTCTGTGTACGTTCAGGGTACGGCTTCTACTGCTTCTTTATGGAGTAACGTTGTCGTCATGTAGCAAGTACGGTGCCAGTTTCTACTTCTTAGAGGGACAGATAGCGCATTGAAGTCATATGGAATTGAGCAGTAATAGGTCTGTGATGCTCTTAGGTGTTCGGAGCCAAAGTAGCATTGCTAGCGTGTTTGAAAACCTGGCCCGAAAGGTTTGGGCAAACTGTTTTATCACCATCGTGACTGGGGTCGGAAAACAAGGAATTCCTTGTAAGTGCAGGTCATAGTCTTGAGCTGATTACGTCCCTGCCCTTTATACATACCACCCACTGCTACTCCCGATTGAATGGTTCGGTGAAGCCATGGGATTAACGTCACTGCAATGGCTTTACCGCTCGACTAATTCCTAGAACACTGCCTCATTTGACTATTTTGATGAATTAATGGAAAGATCATTGCGAGATATTCTTACATGTATCTATATGAAATACAATTATCGTAATATACAATGATGTGCTTTGTTATATCAGCGAAGGCAACAGGTCAGTTGCCCAATCACTCAAAGCTGTAGGATGCGTTGCATATGCGTTTAGTACACATTTCTTGAGCTTCTCTATGTGAATTGCTAAAGCTTCAGCAATGCAAAGAAGACGAAGGATTATTGTCTTTGGCAGGTTGTCCTTCACTTTGTAGATCACTTTGAAGGATGAGTTTATATTTAGAGAGAATGCTCAGCGTTGACAAAGTGTTCAATTATCACCCCCCCCCCTTATAGAACCACTGCTACCCTTCTACAGCCATGTGGGATAGTGTTTTAGAACTCTTTTGGACAGGATATATATATACATTGGTCATTTATGTTGAATATTTTGAATTTTTAGATACTCCATTGGATGAACAAAGCGTATGCAAATAAAGCAAATAAAACCGTGCTTACCAACGGCTATTTCAATGACAAAATGTAAAGAAAAACAACAAAGTCACGTGATACATATCTTGAAAAAAAAGAAAAAGTTACAAGATTTCTTTCAATGTATCAATGTAAAATAATTTTTAAATTATCATAATCCATATGAATGTATGCATACATCCACTAATCGTAAACAACATTCTGAACCCTTAAATATCATTTTTAATTATATATTTATCGTTGATCCTCTGTTAGTCTTTCTACTGCTTTCGTTATCATTATTATTATTATTACTATTATTACTGTGACCGTTAGATTATTTTTCTTAAAGAAACGAAGCTGAAATCTCCTTTAGCTTATTTAATAAATGCAAGCAAGCTTCTTTGTTTCTATTTTACTTCAATAGGCATATATTACCATTACAAATAGTTATACCTACCGGTTTCTTATCTTCACATTGATTACTCCTTTGTTCTACAGATTTATTTGTCTAACCCTCTGATAAAACTATGATCATGATATTTATTATTCAGAGATTTAAAAATTAAATATCGATTGTTACGCCATTGTGTTATTTTTGCTTTATATAAACAACAAAAAACAACAACGTGTACTTTACTTACTAAGGTTGCTTTTTATTGTATTTCAAATGTATAAAATCTTCGTTATTACTCTATCTGTCATACTGTGTACCTACTTGAAAGACAGAGAGAGATGAATGCAATAAAGAAAAATGACTTTTGTTGTTTCCAAATCGTTTTTTTTTCTCAAATCATTTTCGAGAAAAGATTCACAAACTCACAAACGCACAGACACATACAGTGGTGCCTGGTTCTTCATCTTTTCAGTGATCATTTCATAATTTTTCATGTTTGTAGAAAGAGAAATATTGTTTATAAATGATAATGCATAACATAGTATTCAATTTGTTATTATTTTATGCCTTTACGTCCCCAAGTGGAACATAGGGGGCTTCAAGCTAGAGGCTTGAAATTTCAGTAGCAGTGGTGTTGATTTTTATGGGATGGCGTTGCTAGCCCCATGCTTAACCTTCCCTCTTTACCAGTCTTATTACTGGCTTAGCGAGGTGAAGGAATGGGTTGGTGGCCAGGGAGCGAACCCTGAACCACCTGGATGGTTGCCGAGCATTCTACCACTGTGCTACCGACGCATTCGTTTTGTTGTATGATAGCTAAAAGTGGAATTTAGGAGGTGTGTTTCGTTAAGAAAAAATGTATCAGTGAATGTTATTTGTATTTATGTAAGTATGGGGAGTTGAGACAATGTTCAGACAAAACAAAACACATGATGCATTCTTCCATCAATTGTGGTATCATACAAGTATACTGAATCGTCTCTTCAAGATACTTATATGAGAATACCAATAATTCAATTTAACAAAATAAACAACAATAAATTCATAAATACTGGAGATTACATCGAAATTTTACATCAGACACTTTAATGTTTATATATGAATTGCTGTTCCTTGAATGACATTATTTCTCTTGAGTGGATTACGTCGCTTTCTCGATGCCTATATTTTGAAGAGATATTTTAAACATCTATTAGATTGACTGAAGATGCCCATTAGAAATTTAGAAGAGTAATTAATGTATTATTATTATTGTTTCCTTTAGTTCCTAGAGGAACATAGGGCTTCAGTCGTGCGTCTCCATTGCGTTCGGTTCTCTGCTAGAGTCTTCACCTGGCTCCAAGTCTGCCCACACGTTTTCATCTCCTCTTCACATGACCTCCTCCAAATCACCCTTGCAATGACGAACAACTCGCCGCTTCCCTTTCGGGTTCCACTCGACCAATGGCTTGTCTAGTGATGTCACTTGATGGTTTCCTCAGAGTATGGCCAGCCAATCCATCTCCATTTCTTCCTGTCTATTTGTTTCACAATCGGTTCCTGGTTGGTTCGCTCATTGCAAGAGGTCTCTGTTTCTGATCTTTCCTGGCCGGCCATCTGATCTTGAGAGGAGTATTGAGCGAAGACAACTGTTAATGAAGATCTGTAGTTTGTTTGAGATGCTCTTTATGACGCGCCAGGTCTCTGATCCGTATAGTGAGTAGCACTGACTTCACATTGGAGTTGCAAATCCGGGTCTTATTTTTGATGCTGAGTGCTGTTGACCTCCACACAGACTTGAGAGTAGTGAAAGCTTGTCTCGCTTTTCCGATTCTTGCTTTGATATCCTCGTCAGTTCCGCATGTATTTGAAACGATGCTTCCCAGGTAGGTAAAAGAAGTTGTTTCTTTCAGGTTCCTTCCATTTATGCTGATTTTTGTCTGTTGTTGTTGTTCTTGTCCAGGAATCTTCATCACCTCTGTTTTCTCTATGTCCACCTGAAGTCCTATCTTCTCTGGATGCTTCTTGTGCCAACTTGTTGCTTTTCGCTTGCATATCTTCCAGTTTGTGGGAAATCAGACATATATCATCGGCGAAGTCCAGATCCTCCAAGTTTTTGTGTGAGTCCATTTTATGCCTGTTTCCTCATTTCCCTCTGTTTGTCATATTATCCAATCTACTGCAATCAGGAAAATCATTGGCGATAGTAGGCAGCCTTGTCTCACTCCTGTCCTCACTTCGAAGGGTTCCGTAAGTTTCCCGTTGTGGATTATTTGGCATGCAGCATTGTCGTACAACTGTTGGATGAGATGAATAATTGTCGGTGGCACCCCGTAGTAGCTAAGTAGTTTCCAAAGCACCTCTCGATCGACGCTGTCAAAGGCCTTTTCAAAGTCGATGAAGTTGAGATAGAGAGGTGACTGCCATTCCAAGCTTTGTTCAATGATGATCTGTAATGTGGCGATTTGATCAATACATGACTTGTTTCTCCTGAATCCAGCCTGTTCCGGTCGAAGTTTTTCATCCAGGGCTTGTTTGATTCTCTCCAGGATGATGATGAATAAAGAATATTCTTTTCGATAAATTCTTCTTCATTAGGTTCTACATTTATATGATAATAATAATAATAATAATTAAAGAATTATTGTTATTAACAACATTAAGGTTTCAAATTACACAGAATCAGTAGTATCAATAGATCACATTCCATAGGTATCAGTGAGAGATAATGTACATTAATATAATCGTAAACTAAATATCAGACAAATTAAAAGAAGCAATACAAACAAACTGAAGGAGTTGCCATAGGGTCACCAATATCCTCGGTTGTGGCAGATATATTCATGGATAGGTGGGAAAACATTGCTATTGAAACGTTCAGCCCCACCCCCAAAAATATGGTGGAAGTATGTAGATGACACATTCACTGTACTTAGAACACAAGATATAGATAGATTTTTCGAACGCATTAACTGAAAGATGAAGGCAATTCAATTCACTAATGAATTGGAAAGTCAGGAAGAGGACCTTCCAATGTTAGATTGTAGGGTAAAAAGGAAAGAAGATGGGAAGTTAATCACTAGTGTTTACAGGAAACCGATATATTCAAACCGATATTTAGACTTCCAATCATCCCATCCCATGTCAGTGAAAATAAGATTGGTGAAATGTTTAAGTAATAGAGCATAAAAACTAAGTAGTACCAGGAAGAATCTAAGACAAGCATACAAGAGAAGCTTTGAAACTCAGTATAGGGAAGTGTAAAAATAAAATGAATAATGATAGTAGTGATGATAATAATAATAGTGATATTAATGACGACATGCATGTCAGACATGCGCAAGATAATGACTACACCAAGAATAAGGAATCCAAATCATCAGTAGAAATTCCATACAAGGAAGGAACCTCGGAAACCTTACTCAGAATTCTTAACAAGGCTGGAATAAAACTGGTTGGCATTCAAACCCACAAACTCAATTAGAAACAAGCTTCGTAGATTAAAGGATCTTGTGAAGCCGATAAAACAAAACAATTTAGTTTACCTAATACCCTGCCTGCAGTGATTGTCAGGTCAAATACGTAGGTCAAACCAGTAGAACAGGGGCAGTCAGACTAGCCGAACATAAAAACCCAGCAAAACCTAGATTGGTTGACCCGAATAAGATAAGAAATCTGTAGAACAGTTTAGCTATAGCACTCACTACATGCAATTACACACAACCATACAATAGGATGGGATAGGATGACAGTTTTAAAATCTAATGCAACATAGTGGAGGGAGAGATTGATAACAGAAGCTTTGTTTATCGAATCAACTGTAAATACATGTAATAGGAATGATTCAACATCTGTCCCAGATATATGGAAAATTCTACTACCCCTACGACAAATAAGAGAGAACAAAGAAAACTATAAAAATCAAGTTTCGAAGTCGTGTGATTATAACTGATGATATGATTATGAGCAATAGTTTATGCTCGAAATGTCATCAGTTAATATTATTGTACAACACTGTGTGATTATCAAAATAAAATCTTATCCATAATGGAGTTATGCTCTACCACAGTGCCCAAGTTTTATACTTATATCAATAGTATCTAGACCTGTTTCTTTGGCACGCAGAATTCCGGTTGATTCAAGTGAGCCACGTAACACAAACCTATCATTGAAGAACCTTTCTATGTTATCTATCGGTTATCGAATAAATGATCAAGGATCTCTAGATACTGAACCTTCTAAACAGCAGAAACCATTACAATCCGCTTTAACCGAATGAAGCTCTTCATGCAAAAGAAACAGGTCCAGTCACTGTTGCTACTCTAGGCTGCTTTCGAACCTAGAAACCCATAAATTCAGTGTTTATTCCCTTAATTTATCTGACATTCAGTTTAGTGTTATATTAATGCTGATGCTTTTGAAATGCGATCTGCTGATACTACCGATTTAATGCAAGTTAAAACATTAAAGTTGTTAGTAATAATAATTCTTTAATTGTTACTGTCGCATAAATGTAAAATCTGTTACTCCAAAAACGAATGAAGAATAATTCCTTTCCAGCATCATTAATACACTTGTGTTCAGAGGTAAAATACTTGTTCATATGCTCCGGGATTTCTGTCTCCGGTTGGTGCACTCCTAAACCTCACGTAGCCGATGGTAATCCCGGTAAAGGCGGAAGGTATGGTGTGGAGCTAACAACCCCACTCTGTAAAAAGGAAACACCACATCTACTGAAACTTCAAAGCTCAAGCTTGAAGCTCTCCTATCTTCAACTAGGAGTGCAAAAGAATAGATAACAATGGAAAAGTTTTTCAAGAGTTGATTTATAGGTTGCCAGTAAACTTCAGTTTTCGTTTTCTAGCTGATAACTTCGAGAAATATTTGTATTTATTGTAGGAGATATTGTTAAGTATCATCCCGAAACTCATGTAATCGAAATGATCTCATGTGTATCCTCGATAAATGGGAAATTCAAATAAAAAACAAGTTGGAATTAACCCATTATAGTCAAGTTAGATGAACCATCTCAATCCACTATCACTCCATCATTAAATGTATTCAGCATTTTGTAGATTTGTTACCAAGAATGCGATAGAAAACTGTCACGTACAGTTATTTCTCTTCCTCATGTAATATATGATTGATGTGTAAAAATAAGTTACTATTTATGAACTTGGCTTTATTCTATTTGTATAAATAAGATCCATCATGATGAATATTTGTTGAGGTATGCAGAATACTTTTCAACATGAATTTTGGTTAACTGTGTAGTATTGTAACAACAGAAGACAAGGGCTAGGCAACAGATCATTTATTAAG